CTTTCTGTCCCTTTGATTTCCTAAATATTTTACACATTTTGGGCCCAGAGTCCTTAGCAGTAGGTACAGATAAGACTTCTTGTGAAGTGTGATGTGACTGCCTTCTACATGTGAGTTGTCCAACCAGGAAAGTGTAACAGCTTGATAAATATGCTCTGCATGGGCATTAAACAAGCTGTAACACAGCATCGCTGCTTGCTCAATTCAGACTGGGACATTCTAGTTTTTGTGGTCACTGATCAAATGAAATTGTTTGTTACGGCCGGGTAGTTTGGTGTGTGGTCTTGATTTCATTCATTCATTTCCCAGGCACTGCTGCCATGCACCAAGCTGAACAGTTTAGATAGGGTATCAGTTGTTTGAGCAGGGCAGCTTGAATCTGTGTTTTGATAGTTTTACTGTGCCCTGAAACAGGCACTCACGCCGCTGGTACGTGCTAATGAGAGCAAAAGAGTGTTTTGCAGGGATTAACACCCAGCGAGATGTTCGAGATGTTCGTGGTCTCCCCCATGTTGCACAAAGCCTACCCCCTCCTTGCTTTGTGCAGGCTGGCAAGGCACACTCACACCAGGAGCTCTGGCAGGTTTTCTATAATGCTTTTTTCCCTCTCTTCATGCAGTCTCCTGCTGAATGTACTGGGTAAACAGGTTTTTCTCGTTCCTTCCTGGAAGAGACTATTACAGATTGCTCCACTCTTCCTGTCAGTGTTTCACGTTAGTGTGCAGAGCATGTTGTTCTTTGAGCAGTGCCCGTTGTTCTAATGGGATCCATTTAAAGCAAACTCTACTGTAATTTCATTTTCCTTAGAGAGAGGGGGGAAAGTACTTTCTACTCGGGGCTATATCCATGCTACTCACTTTACATCTCTCTAGCAGGATCTGCAGCACACTGATTTCTCTCCGAGATCACTGGAAAAAGCTGAGAGCTGAGGGGCCCTGGAGGAGTGTTTGCAGATGCGCTGCTGCTCTGCACCACTTCCCACAGCCAGAGCCCCATCTCCTATCCCTGGAGCAGCCTCAGCCATGGCTCTCCCTCCTGTTTGTTGTTTGGTCTGTGACAGCTAGACCATGCAATCTGCAGCAGGCTGCACCTTGCATTCAGTTGAAAACCACCCAGTGCAGAAGCTTCTGAGCCATTTTCCTTAATGCGCATGATGCCCACTATGGTTTGGTGTTTGTAGTTTTTGGTTCCAGCACTGGTATTTATTGACTGAAATCACCTGGGAGCCTCCCACACCAGCGAGTATCCTCTTCTCTGTGTAATGTTGGTGCATCTATAGTGCCTGAGATGCCCTGTAGCTCTGGGCAGAAATTCAGCGAGGAACTGCTGAGCAGGGCTTTTTCCCAAGGGCCCCACAGCACTGTAAATCAGTCTCCCTGTAGCCTTCTGTGCATTAGCCTTCAGGGGATGCAGAGAAACTTGTCTGCTGGCTGGGCCACCAAGGGCTGGCTGAGATGTATGGGCGGCCAAAGGAGGGAGTTGTTTTTCTGTCTGAACCACTTGCTATTTTCCTGTTGTGTGGGTTGGGATGTGTTGCTGGATTTGCTTTTGGTTTGATGTATTGTTGTTTGTTGAATGGCTCAGGGGTTTGTATATAACATTGAAATGACTGGGACCCATGAGGGGTGCTTTTTTATGTTGGCATTTAAAATGAAATCAAAATAGATGAGATGTTTTTCGCATAATTAAAGATCACACCTAAATCAAATGCTCTAGACCTCAGTCTCCTCTATTTCCCCACTTCCCACTCGTCTCCCCCTCCTACACGCATACAAAGTTCAGCTGTTTCGGAATGCAGCTGAGAATTTCCTACTGTCTAGAAAGCACGAACTAAACCTCTTTTCCTCCCTTTTTCAAAGAAAAAACAACACCCACAACATGCAGCACGTTCGTGGTTCTCGTGTCAGCACTGTAGCTGGCACTCCTCTCTAGTTTCAGTGTAGGTTATTTCTGAATTACCCTAAATAGACCATTCCCCCACTCGGAGGTCAAGGTGAGTGCAATGATAGCCAAGTCCCCTTGTTGGCAGCTCTCTGTGGGGAATGATATTAACCTGCACGCCTCTCCCTCTCCTACTCCCTACAGCCTGTTATTAAACAAGGACAAGTGGGTAGCTTGTCTGTGTCTGTGTGTGAGAGCACGACTCTGTCACCTGATGCATACAGATGGCTTATTAACCAATTAATTCATAGGACTAAATTGGTTAAATCAAACTAAATGACACCCAATTGCTGTACAAGGGTAGAAATGGATTGGAATAAGTGTTTCTTAAATGCCAGCCTCATTGCGCAAAGGAATGAGTGGTGAAGGGAGGAGGGGAGCTCATGGAGGAGCAGGGAAGGCAGCAGACACTGGCAGCAGCACAGGCAGAGCCATCCAGGGCATCATGTCCTAGGGAAGGAAGCATCTCGCGAGCCCGTGGCTGATTGTGCTGCCAAGAAATCAGATCTCTCTTTTTGCTGATGACATTTTAGGGCTGGGAATTCCTCCTGAGAGAGATTTCCAGTTCCTGCCTTCAGTCTGTGGGCAAGAAGAGGGGGCTGCTTGGGTCCTAGACTTCAGTTGAAGCATGAAGAGTCATTATTGTTAGTTTGTCTCAGGAGTGAGGGTTTGAATTTCAGAAGTGCAGTCTAGTTCTAAAGTGTCTAAAGTCTCTTGGAGCAGCTGATGTTCCTAGAAGCTCAGGTTTTTAGTCCTCCTTTAACTGGGCCCCAAGGACCAAGTGGCTTCAGTGGAAACAATTATATATTTTAAGTCTTCAAATAGGAAAAGCACAGAAGATGTCACGTGTGCATCCATTTTCTGGAGGATAACCCCACTGTCTACCTTACCTGCAGCAAGATCATCAATTGCTTTGGGACGCTCCTCTGTAATGTTTCCCATAGTGGCATTATCTGTACGTGTGTATTACAGAAGACTTTTCTCCATAGGACAGCACTCCTTTTTTCCACACCAAATACTAACCTTTTGCTCTGAGTTGTGATATAGATGATGAACTTGATAGGATTGACTGAATGACTGGAAGAGGAAGGTATTTCCCCTGATCCCAGTTCAATTTAACAACTACTGCGATACATAAGAGTCATAACCCAATTTGGAATAGGGGAGGGAGTACAAAAGCAAAAATACAAAAAGCAGAGTTGTGCATCAGAAACTACTCAGTGGAGTTTTATCTTACAGTTTGAATGTTTTGCCTGCCTCGAGGCTAGATCTTATATCAGCATATCAAAGCTGTGGTTGCTTGTACCACTGTTTAACTGGAGCTGATTATCAGAGGGAGGTCTTCTAGTTGCTTCCTTTGGCCAGAGCTTCATCTTGATAGTCATGACTAAAGGGGAACGTGTGTGGCTTGTGTTAAATTGTAGAAGGGAGCTGTTCCATAAGGGAATATGGGAAATGCTGAGGTACAAGTCCTACACAAGATGGGTGCATGCAGCATAGTTTATGAGGTTTATGGCCTTGTTCAGCATGGCCCAGGGCTGACTCTTCATTGATCATCCACCTTGTGGTGTCTTGGTAAATGCATATCCCCTGGATAGCATTTGAAATCTGTACCCCTGTGCCTGATGGCACGAAACACAGTGGCACAACCCTGGATCAAGCTGCACATAAGGGTGAAGGTCACAGCCAGTGAATTGTAGACTTGTAGAATTACTTGGTTTGCAAGGAACCTTAGAGACTGTCTGGATCCAATCCCCTGCCGTGGGCAGGGCTGCCACCCACTAGATCGGACTGCCCAGGGCCGCAGCCAACCTAGTCTTGAATGGCTCCAGGGTTGGGGCTTCCACTGCTTCTATAGGAATGATTCCAACATTTCACTGCCCTCTGAGTAAATAATTTCGTCCTGATATCTAACCTAAATCTCCCCTCTTTTGGTTTAAAACTATTCAACCTTGTCCTATCGCTACCAGATCATGTAAGAAGTCAGTCTCCCTCCTTTTATAAGTGCTCCCCATGTACTGAAATGCTCTCCCATAGCCTTTTCTGCTCCAAGCTGAGCAAGCCTAGCTCCCTCAGTCTTTCTTCATAGCAGGGGTGCTCCAGTCCTTTGATAACATTCATGGCTCTCCTCTGGACCCACTCCAACAGCTCCACATCTTTCTTGTACTGGGTGCCCCAGGCCTGGACACAGTTCTTCAGAGGGACAGTCCGCTCCTTTGCCCTCTTGGTCACCCTTCTTTTGATGCAGCCCAGAGTATAATTGGCCTTCCAAGCTGCAAGCGCACACTGCTGGCTTGTGTCCAGCATTTCATCCATGAGGATGCCCAATTCTTTCTTTGCAGGGCTGCTCGCAATGAGTTCTTCTTCTCATCTTTACACATATCTGGGATTGCCCCAACCCAAGTGCAGCATATTGCGCTTGGCCTTGTTGAATCTCATTAGGTTCACATAAGCCCACTTTTCAAGCTTATTGAGATCCTTTTGGATGGCATCCATTCCTTCTGTTTATTAACTGCACTGCTCAGCTTGGTGTCAACGGCAAACTTGTTGGGGGTGCACTGATTCCACTATTCAGGAGCAGAGCTTACTTCTGTGATGGGAGCATCCACTTCCTTGGGATGGGCCAAGTGCCTGAAGTTAGCTCTGGGTTGCTCAGTGCTGTCTGTGTGCTGTTTTCATCGTGTGACTCAGGAACTGTGTGATATGGTGAAGCACACTGCTGCAAAACCCAGCATTTTGCATGCATGCATTCATGTAATTCTGCTTGTATGCCATTAACATATATAGGCATAAATTGAAACATCCGTGCACATGGAGTACAACCCATTAAAAACAAAACCTGTGCATTCACAAAAGTGCCAAGAGTATATTCACCAGCACCCTGGTACTAGCTGTGGATAACCGCCAAACAAACACATGCTTGACTATTATGTCAGCGTTAAAATTGCTCTTCTTCAGTTCCTGCAGCAAGATAAAGTCTCCAAAGCCCGTCATGCTGCGGCATCTTTTTCAAGGCTGCAGTATACGGAGTGTGTATAAAATATTGAATCATTTAGAGCTTTTCATCTTTGCTTTATTTATTTATTTTTTTAAAAAAAAGGAAAGAAAAATAGGATTTACACTTTGTCCACTGACAGAGCAAATGTTTTATGTGCTGGAGCCATGACCGCTGCTCTACAGCATTTTATGCATATATTCTTTTACGTTTCTTTCTTTTTTACAGTCATGCTACTGAAAAGGGTCAAATCAGCCATTTGGAAGGGTAATTTATTATTCGTAGATCAAATTGCACTCTAAGAGTTGTAAGACCAATTTTTGGCCCCTTCTCACTAACACTTGTTCTGGAAAGATCCCTCGCTTTCCTTTGGCCCTAGTAGTTTTTGCTGTCTGAAACTATCGCTGATGCCAGAGGTGGAGTGGAAAGGAGAGTATGTTGTTCCGACACATTGAGAAATGGTCTGACACCCAGCACACATTTATTTTGGATAACAAAGACCTTTTAAGTTAGTGAGGCACTCACAGACAAGCTGCGTCTCTGAAGACTTCTTCACTGGTTCTCAGATTTCCTTCCTTCAGCTTCTTCTCGATGTACCTGTTTTCTGGAGGCTCTGATCATGCTCTGTAGTGAATTGGCTGAACGTATTGCTTCACAGTCCGTGTTGTACCAGCCTGTTTTAGTTGGTAGCAACTCTTCATGTTTCATAGTAGCCCTATAGGGAAATTTCGTTTGAAGAACCTGTGGCTTGAACCACACTCTTGTCCTGCACTGTGCCATGGCCAGCACTGCACAGGAACATCACTTTTCCATACATCAGGAGAAGCTAGAAAGGCTAATTTTTTAGTATGATCAAAAATTTTGGGAACAGTTAAGTCACTCCAATCCTCTGAGCTGTTTTATTCCTCACCATTTACAATTATCTGGACTGTCTCTTGAAGTCTGAAGAAGAAGCAGGTTGATCTTGTCTGAGTTTTTATCTTTACCTTACATTTGAACAGATCAGATAGTTCAGAGTCCTTTCATGGGCACCGAGAACTTTTTTATTGTTTCGGTGGTCAGGAACAGAACCACTCTAGACACAAAGCAACAGCCCAAGGTAATAAGAGAAGAGAAAATTTTAATTAAAAAGAAAGAACGAAGAGAAAAGCATTCTATTTTATTGCAAAAATGGAAGGGCTGAGGAGGCTGTTGCTGTTTGTCAGTGTAGTTAGGACTGTTATTGCCAGCCTGAGAGAAACCTCAAAAGATTTTGAAGTTCAGATAAGGAACCAAAAGTTCTTACAGTTCTCTGAATCTTACGATGATTCTCTTCAGAGAATCATAAAATAATCCTAAAATCTTTGGCCTGTGCTTCTCATATCACATTCAAAGATGTAGCTTAGACACCTGTACAGTTGCTGTCCCTGAAGCAATTCTCCAGTTGCATCAACGTGTGCAAGTTGGCAGCACTCACGTGTAAAGAAATGCGTGTCAAGTTTAGAGGCAGATATGTCAACCCATACTTTGCCTTTGCCGTTAGGATGTGTAGAATAAATCTTTTTTAGGTCGCCTTGCCTGCAGGTTGAGTGGGACTAGGCAGATGGAGTGGAGTTCAAGAAAGCATGAGGAAGTTTATCTAATATGTGAAATTCTGCAGGTACCTTGATAATCTCCTTCTTTCCCTGAAGGAAACAAGGGGAAAATCTTTGGGGACATTCATGTTTCAGCTCTACAGAGAAGTGCCCCTACATCTCCTTGGAAAGCTGGGAAGAAAAAGGAAGGAGTTGAGAACCAGAGGATTGCGACATAAGTCAAATCAAGATCCAGTTGACCAGTCACCTCCTGCTGGTCTTTTCTGAGTTGTCATTCCCCTAGAAGTGCATCCCCTGAGATGATAAAGAGCACCTGAAGTGCATTAGCAAGATCACATCTCTTGGGCCAGGAGCATTCTGTAATTCCTGAATTGTTTTGATGCAAAATGACAAGGAGATTTGAAAAAAAAAAAAAAAAATCCTTCTTACTGGCTTATTTTTCTTCTCCCTTTTCTGTCCTTGTTTTTGAAAGATCTAGGATGACTCAGGTGTAAAATAATGTCCAAACAATGAAAAGAACATTCAGAATGAATGTATGTCCAAATGTTCATCCTCTTGCTTTGAGTATTTATTTTCTTGCTTTTCTTGTCACTTCTCTGTGACCTTTAGCAAACTAGGTGTTTTGGCATTAAACACAGAAGTTTGCTGTAAAATGGAGGGGCAGGGAAGCAATTCTTTTATGCTAACCAACATATTCTGGTCTGAAAATGTATTTCAGCAGGTTTTCACGTAGTGTTTGGGCAGGAAAAATTAAGTATTTCTTGTCTTTTGCACAAGTCAAAGATGAAGAAATTTGAACTGTCCTTTTTATTGGGAATTGCTTTATTCGTGCCGTCTTGCTTTGTAACAGCTTTGGAGCACATCATATTTTTTCAAGGTACTGGATGGGTGATTCCAGGAACTAATACTAGATTTCAGTTGCAAGAAAGTGGAGAGAGGCAGCTGTGCATTTAATGCAGGAGGCCTGGATCCTGATCTCTGCAGTGCCATGCACTGCTTTTGTGACCTTGGGAATGGCGCACAGCATTTTTGTGACTGGATTCCCCATTTGTGAGCTGCAGAAGGCAAAATTACTGTTAGTGATATTGTAAGGATACATGCCATCCAGTCTGTCTGACTTTCAATTGAAACGGTCACTGGCACTGCAGGCAGGAATGAGCTGGGCTTCTGAGAAAATGCTGTGGGACAGATTCATTCCTTTCTCCTGCAGGCTCTGCGATCTGTGTTTGCAGTTTCCATCTTCTGTATAACAAATATCAGAGCCTTGTAGCCCTCAGCTGAGGCAGTGATGTCATTATCTTCATTTCACTCTTGGGAAACTGAGTCATGGAAGAGCTGTGTGCAGTGGCAAGGTCTGAAGACACTGGGAGAAAAAAAAAACGTGAAATGAATGATTTCTGCTTTGTTTTCAAATAGCTAGAATATGCTGATAATAATTCTTCCTGAACTCATCTCAACTGCGTATCAGGGGATAAGCATGTGTGTAGCAAACCCAGCTGTGCATTGCAGTCATTCCATTCTTGCTAGGGTTTGGAGCACAAAATATTCTTCTGCAGTAGATCTGGATAACTGCAGTTTTGGGACAGGGAGCCCTGGTGTGCTGGCCCGCACAAGTTGCTGAGCTTCCCGCTGTGCATTTTTAACTTTGGATCACTGACTGTATCGTTTCCACTAGAGAGGTTTTAAACACTGCTTTTCTTGGGCAATGTCAGACGGTGTTTAATGAAGAATAAAAGAAGCAGGGTGTTTCATATTGCTTTGGGGAAAACAGAAACGTCCCTCTAGGAGCACTGAGATGCAGCAGCAGAGGTGGGTGCCAAGCTGGCAGTCCCAGTGCTCAGCTTGTGACTGCATGGCATGGAGGAGTGTAAGTAACAACCACTGTGTCTTATTGTGGCAGAGGGAGAAGGGTCACCACTCCCCATCGCTTGGCTGTGATGAGCAGGAGATGGATGTGGCAAGCAGCCGTGCTGTGAATGCAGCATCAGAAAGTGTTCAGGAACTGTTTCTGTCTGCATCTCTTCCTAAAGTCACAGTACTGTCCCTTCACGGTTCTTCATCTCTCACTTCCCGGCTGAGCAGACACTGGCATACAGCAAGGCAGTTGGCATGTAATGTGCCTTTCTCCCTTCACTCCTGCTCTTGCTGCCAGTTTTGTCTGTGTGCTGCCTTTCTCGCACACTGAGCATGCGTTCTTTGGGGGTCTTTCTTCCGCTGAATGTCTGTCCCCTGTCTGGCACTGGCAGGACCTGCTCTCTCTTCAGAGCTAAGTGGGTAAGGATGGATTCTCCCTCCACCCCCAGTCTGTGAGTTTCAGTGGTGCTGGTGTTTCGTTGGCCACATTGAGGCACTTGGAGTGCTCACCTGAAGCTGCTGTTGCTGAGTTGTTCAGCCATAGGTTTTGTTTGTTTGTGCCAATAATGGAAATGTCTTAGTACCTACCAATTACTAAAAAAAAGAGGCAGCGGTAATCTCATTTATCTTTCTCTTTCTGTCTCTCTCTCCATTTTTCTCCCCTCTCCTCTGGGACAGAAGTAAATAAAATGCTTGATAAAATTTAGGCTTTGTGTGTGCAAGAGAGATACTTATTGTGGTGAGCTGGGCTGAAGAAATGAGATTTGCATAGATATGGATGGATAAAAAGAATAAGAGATTGGGAAAATAAATGCCTGAATACTGAATAACGGAAAATATATGGATCCAAGTGTATGCTTGGAAAAACGCTATGGACTTCAGCAAAGCTGTACTCTCTTGAACTAGCTCTGTGCTCAGCACCTAATTTTCCATATTACTACATTACACTTTTTGGCTGTTTGCTCCTTAAGTGTCTCATTTGTGGATATTCTTTCTCATTAGGATATGAGAGGGGAGAGTCAGTGTTTACTGTCTTGCAGGTGCTTCTCTACCACAGAGATTTAGCTGTGCTTAGTGTGGTTGATGACAGGGTCATACTCCAGTAGAGGCCTTGGACAAAGAAAGTGCCCATTGCCAATGAGAGTCAGAACTTGATGAAGCCCTGGGACATAGCCATGCATTATAAACAGACAAATGGTACAAAAGGCCAGGAGTCCTCAACTTGTCTATTTGTCAGGACAGAGACACAGGCTTGGATCAAAGATTCAACGAAGCTAGATGATTTCCTCTTCGTACCAGTATTGGGATTTTTGAGACGTGCCTAGGGCCATTATGGCAGGTTTTGCTAGAAGATGTAAAGATCCTGGGAACGGGTTTTCTTCAGGATATTTCACTTCTTTCATGTTGCAGTGGTGACACTTGAGCTAGGGCATCTGAAAATTGAGGTCTGAGTCAGATCTAGATTCAGAAGACCAGCTGTCATGATGGTCAACAGATACATTAGAGAAAAGGAGCAAAGCGGCACATTTGGAGAATCCGATCCTCATGCTAAGTTTCATTCCTAGTCATGAGAATTAGGAGTCTTCAGTCTACTTTCTGAAACTTTAATATGTCTTTAGAAATGTTGCTGTCATTCATTGTCATAATTCTGGATGTTGCGATATGTCTCCGTCCTGCCCCGTCTGCAATACTGTGAGAGTCTTCCTTTCAATTATTTCCTTCAGCTTTGAGTCCCACAGTCTAATAATGTAATGTGCGGAAGGGGGGGAAAAAAGGAAGAAAGGTATTCCAGCACTTTTGAATTCAGCTTTTCATTTAGTTGAATGCCTTCTTAGTCCTTGTTTCCCAAGCTTGGACAAAATCTAAGCTGATGAAGAAAGGTAGCTACTTACTTTTCATGTGCTTAGGTCCTTTGGAGAGTCTATGGAAAGCATATCTGTGATCTCTCCAGGCCAGCCCCAAACCTGAAAATTGAACACATTGGGACCTTTCTTCCACATGACCATTTTGTGGCTACATTTCTGGTCCCCATACGCAGATAGAAAGCAGGTTTGCTTTGTCGCAATCCATTTCTGGGCAGCCCCGTGTGCAGTCTTTCCACATGATGAACGGGCTAATTAATTTACAGGACAGAGAGAGAAAAGAAAAATAAAGGAGGGTGAGGAGGGGGACTGGATCAATTGACAAATTGAAATGTCATTTCCCAGCCTGCAGCTGGATTCTGCTGTCTTCTCTCCCCCCTTCTTTTTTTTCTGTTTTAGCCTTTTGTATTTTGATTTGGTTATAAAAGCCAGGACATAATTGAAACTGGCATCAGAATCAAACAGTGTGACCTTGTCGTGTTTCTTGCAGTCCGGCACTGCAGCCCACTGGGAATGAGGGAAATAAAAGAGGATGAGGAGGGGCAAGGGAGCCCGCCAGCATGGGGACTCCCTTGGCAGTGAGACTGCTTGCCTGCGTGTTTTTGAAGAGCTTCTCTTCTTTGCCTCTCATCCTGCCTCCTATTTATTTAGCTTTTATCCAAAGCAGCTGAAGTGTTTTGGCAGGCAAGGAGAACGTGATGTAGGAGAAGGAGCAGGCCTGGAAGGTGACAGTGGAGCACGATTGCCCCTTTTTCGTAGGAGCTCTCACATAAATTTGCTATGGGAACTACGTGATGTGGGCTAGCAGTTTAGGAAAGTGATGCCAGCCTGAAGGAACTGGGAAAACAAGGGCCTTAATGTCTTCCCCCTCCTTGGCCTGACGAGCTAAAAGGAGCAATTTTATTTCCAGGACACGTGGAAATAAAAGGACACGTGGCTCCAACTGTGCTCCCCACTTCTGTGTTGCAGCAGCACCCCTTCAGGGTGATTCAGCCAAGAAAACTCATCTCTCCTCTGAACTGGGCAATTGCAGGAGTTAGATCTGCTCAGAAGAAAGATTGGTGTAGAAAGACCAGCTGTCTGGGGCTAATCTGCAGAAAAGTAGATCTTGGACCTAGCAGCACCCAGCTCTTGGCTGTGCCCTCCACAAGCTTTTGGGGACAGGGCTGTGGCATAGCTTTCCCTATGACCCTCTTCTATATCAGGGAGTCTGGCAGGTAGGAGGGCATGGTGTACAATCAGGAGTCTCTGACTGTTGGAGGGGAAGCACCGCAGGATTGCAACTGCATAAACCAGCAAGGAATAAATCTCCACTAAATCTGTCCCATCTTTGATGCTGTAGTTTTTACAGACCAGAGCAGGAATTAAGAATGAAGGAAGTGATGAAAAGAGGAAGCACAAGGAGAAGAGTTGGAGGGGAAGCTGGTGAGAGCAGAGTGGGTTTTCCATGCTGCAGTATTTGTTTTGGAGAGAAGGGCTGTAAATCTGTTACCCTGTCATGAACCCCTAGGCGCTCAGCCCCTAGAAGCTGGCTGGCAATCCTGGCTCATTTACCTGGCCAGCTTTCACAGGCTCAGCAGTTCTTCAGCTGCAACCTGTTCTCTGCCTTCCACTGCTGCAGGACCTGAGGGGAGAAGCCAGCAAGCTTATTTACAGGCTATTAGAAAGCTGGGTTTGAGCAGGAGGTAGTGGGTGCAATTGGTGTGGCCTGTATGTCCCTGTGGCCCTTATCCGCTCTGCTTATATGCTGCACGCTCGTTACTTCACTATAGGTTTACAGAGAAACTGCCATAATAAAAATAAAAATATGTATTTATGTATCAGCCCGCATTTCTTTGTTCTGATATAAATGAAGTATAGAGGAAGTGAGCAAATGGAGCTCCCGCAGGAGAATAGATGAAGAAGCTTGAGTCAGCAGAAGCAGAGCAGGAGGACCGCGATGGTTTATGCAGGTCTTGATGCTGCCTCATGGAAGACAGTGATTTGTGAGGTGGTGGAAATGAATAATACCATTTAATTCAATCGCTTCTTTGCAGACTTAAGCCAAATTCCAATGTGATTTTGGGATACTTTTGGTTACTGATGTGTTTTCTTTTGAGAATAATTCAAAAGATTTTGTTCACTCTCAGCTATAGCAAAACTTGCATGAACTTTTATACAGATCAGAATTGGGCCCTTCAGGGAACAGAAGACATATTTAAACTATTATATATCTTTCAGAGTTTATAATGATTTGTCATGGTTTGGTTTGTTGGTTTTCTGTTGTTACATTTTTGCTCACTGTCCTCAGGTGCTGGCATCTTTCTGCAGACCTGAGCTGTACACCAAGGACTCTAGTTGGTAAACACTTAACAGCTCTATTTCAAACCACAGAATACTCTCCTTCCACGAATATCAACACAATTAGTGAGATTACAGCCTTTACAAAATGCTACTCACTTCTCCCCCTGAGTGAAGTGTTTGCTGGTAAATAATACAAACTGTATTTTTATGAATGTTAGATCAAACTTGCCAGTGAATGTGCTGTGGTTTCACTCAGTGCCCTTTCGTCCTCTCCCTGCGTTTATTTGAACAATTTCATTTTATTGCAATTAAAAAAAAAAAAAAAAGAAAAGAAAATGAATTTTGGTATCATGAAAATATTAATTGAAATTGAATGTTAGAAATTCTGCCAAGGATGTTCAGGTTAGGAGGATTTGTGCATTACTCTGGCCCTAGCAACTGTCAGAGAGAATCAGTCTTGAAGTCCCTTGAGCCTTGATTTGACCTACCAGTGGGCAACAGCAGATTTTTAGCAAAAAGGGGAACCACCATAGCTGGCAGTTAATATTATATATTTATCAATAATAATGATTAGTTTCGTCCCTAAGCTATGAGGCAATATAATCTTTCTAATCAGGATTCGTGCTTTGTATTTGGGTAAATTCTTGTAATTCTTTGTTTCATTTTGCTGATCTGTTGGCTTTGATATAATGTGGCAATGAGTTCCCCTGCCTAAGTTCAGTGTTCTGTTAAAACTAAATTTCTCTAGTAAATTTGTAATCACCACCTTTCAGGTTCATTAACTGCTCATTTTTCTTGCATTATAAAAAAAATAAGTAGCTCTTCACCTTCTTTCTTTGTATTACTCAGAATTTTATAGACTGTTATCACAACTTCACTTATTTGTCTTCTTTTTGATATGAACTCCCCCCGCCCCCCCCTTCATTTTTGATTTATATATGCATTTTTCTGCTCCTTTTATCATTCTTACCACCTTTCTAAAAAAGAAGCTAAAACAATACATTGTGACTTATCTGGCCACTAGTCAAACCATCTGGAATTTCAGCCTTCACCTTTGAGGGGGAAAAACGGGGGAAAATCCATCAAATAAATTGGAAAAACGAATACATTTATTGAACTCACCATCTGGTAGTACACATTCCACCAGCAGACAAGAAGAACAAAAAAAAACAAGCTAAATTCAACAAATCAATTATTCATTGTGAATTATTCACTAGCTTCTATTCCAAACACTGCCAAGATGTGTTTGTTTATTTTTATTTGGAGTTTAAAAAAATCCATGGCAACATTGCTGTTTGTCTTAGCTTTCATGTACAAAGTGCAAACCTGTGCTTCTTTACTGAATGCCTTTATTTAACCAAAGAAAAGCAACAGAGCGCAGAAGAATAAAAGCAAACTTCTCAGAAGAGAAAATACTGTGTATCTAGAAAAGTACCATTTCACTGTGTCTCATAGAATGATAGATATTCCTGGTGACCAGGCCATTCTAGAAATATAAATGCAAAAGCCTCTGAAAGTGAAATTTAATCTGTTGTATCAGTTCTATCTGTTGCAATGGTCAGATCACTTTGGGCTTGCCTGTGCTGGTCTCTCTTTAGAGCTGCCAGCTGTATCATGGGACTTCAGCAGGGACCTGGATGTGATCTGAGGCAAGGAAATTTATGATCTGCTGCCTGGTTTGTAAGCTTTCTAAGACTTCTGCTGCTGGAGGGAGCTGGGGAGGGTGGTTGCATGAGGGAAGTCAGCAGAAGTGGCCGCCGTGTGTTTCGCAGTCTACAGCCTGCTCTATAGAAAGGCTCAGTAAAAGAGCTATTCCCTTTTCTTTCCACTTCTGTGTTGTTGGTTTTTGTTGTTGTTGTTGTTGTTGTTTTTTTTTTTTTGTCCAGACTCAGTTACACATAGCAACTAATTACCTTCTAATTGAATATTGACTGAGGGGCAGTCAGATAAGTTGTTTGTATTAGGAAAGCAAAGGAAATAAAAGTGCACTATGAATTATACTTTATATTGATTGTAGTCTTCTCCGATACAAGGTGCTAAGTGCAGGGCCTTAGAATGAAAACCTTTGGGAAGACCATTTTTCCTCACGTTTGCACAGTGCCATGCACACAACCTGGCTCCCTTTTCCACTGCTCTGGTCAGACACCAACATTAACACTGGTGTTCAAACATCCATGTGCAGGTGCTGATCTTGACAACCAAACACAAGATTCACAGTGCCTCGTATTAGATGTTCAGTTCTGACTTTATGGGTGTGTTGCCCCAGAAAGCCCCGATGCCTTCACTTGGGAATGAAATCACATTATTTGCTGATGTACTTCTTCCAGAGAGTAGACACAAGCTCCCACCAGAATGCACAATTTATTCTACAAAATTCTGTTTCTTTTCTTCTTTGTTCAAACACAGAAAAAAAAAAAAAAAAAAGCAAAGCAAAAACCCAACAGCAACAAACAACAACAGTACCCTACTTACTTTTGGATGCAGTTTTTATGCCCCGATCGGTGCCTAACTGGTCATCAATTTAATATTTGCAATTAAATCCGAGTACAAAATGTTCTGCCAGTAAGCTGTGGACAAAAATGCTGCTGTCCCTGATTGCACCTAGAGAGGAAGTAAGAATTCTTCTTGATAAAGCTATACTCTTCACTACATGCTTTCTACCTTTTAAAAACGGTGGCCCAGATTCTAGGAGCAAGGGTTAGAATATTCAGAACAGTGGCATTTTCTATCTGCTGATGTCCTCAACTTCCATGTTGCTGTTCTGAGCACTTTACTGTGCTAGAGCTTTCTACTGCTTCTTTTGACACTGATGCAAGGATATATTCAAAAAGAAGGACACTGAGATTGAAAATGAAAACACACAAGATTAAAAGTATAAAAAAAAAAAAAACAAAAAAAGCGAAACAAAACAAAAAGCCCAACAAAAGAGAGAAAGATTAGAGACTTTTTTTCCTTAGGAAAAAACTTCATTTTAATCGTTTGATTTTCCTGGCTTCCATTCAAACACCACTTCTGTTCAGCTCTTTCTGTTCTTGCTGCGTTGTTTTTTTTTTTATCCTTTCCCTGATCTGCCCATCCCCATTTCCTTGCCACAGATCTGCCTGAGCAGGGCTGAAAATGGGGACTGTGTAATGTCACGGCTTATGCCATGAGCTGGAGATGTTTGTGCATCTGAAGGAAGGGGAGAAGCTAAGTAGGTTCATCTGCAGCAGGTATATTTGTGTCCTCAACTATGCAGAATCTAAAAGGGCAGAAGCTGAAACAGCAGAGGACGTGGGACTGCTCTGTTGTGGTTTGGGAGTGCCCATGTCCTCATGGGGAATGTCTGCAGAAGTTAAGAGCTTCCAAGAGTGTGTAGACACTCTAGACCTTTCTGGACTTTGTACGGGCCAAAGCTATATGAATGGAGAGGGCACAGGGAATTTTGGGACTTGATAACAGGAAGTTCATAAGAAGCAGACTCCGGTTTGTTTGGGATTTCTTTGAGGAGGCTTAAAATTAATGCTAACAATGCATAAGGCTGCCAGTGTTTTTCAGCAGCATTTTTCTTTAAGGTACAGGGGAGTTTTGTTGGCATTTACAAGTGATTTATTCTGACAGTTATTGTATGTTCAACAATAAATTAAGTGAAAATAGGCTAATAACACATATTCACTGATGCCTTAGCAGCTCAGAAATGGATTGGAATTTCCTCTCTGACCTCACTCTCCTTCTCAAGTAAACAGACAATCATGTGTAAGCCAGACAAAGGCAGGATTCTCAAACAGAAAGGATAGGTAGGTTGGGAGCGCAGAGGACTGAAGCAAATGCCTCTCTAATTACTGATGTGTGGTGACAGAGGACTAAGGAGATCATTGGAGGCTGCAGTATTAGCGACAGTGCAGTTTTCTCCCAGCTAATAACATGTACTATGAGAAATCACTCTTTCCAGGCTTTGAATCTTTCTGGAAGTTTGAAATCTGTGGCAGTTGAATGTTTCCCAAAAGTCCTTGCAGCATCTTGCACATCTCGAGGATCTCACAACACGTCAAAGACCCCTCTTCCTTGCCAAGCTGCTGTGCCACCCAAAATACAAATGCTGTCTGAGAGCAGTGCTCATTGAACTCTGGCAGACCGTGCCCATTGCCTTGTAAAACAGACCCTGTTTTCTGCCTTTTTTTCTTTCTTTTTTTTTTTTGTCTGATGTTTTAGAGCTTGCAGGCCTGCTTATGGATATGTTAGGACCAAATGAAGGAAAAGACTGAAATTCTGGAGGGATGCGTGCAAGGTAACAGCGCTTTGGAGAGGATACTGAATAGTGTGTATATAGGCCAAGGATTGAGAAATCCTGTGGAAGAGCAGGCTGTGTATTGTGAGCTCAGGAAGTTTTTGATCAGCTGATAATTCCTGTCCTTTCCATTTCCTATTTCTCCTCCCTTCCAGTAGCCAGGGCATTTGGTAAAACCTCGTGGCTGATCTCCCATGCAAGAAAATAACTGTCACAGATAGGTGATGGGAGGTTACAGAAGGTTGTCCATGGTGATTCAAGGGTGAAACACAGACTCCAGCTTTTCCCCTTGTTTCTCTGCCCAGTGCCTAGACATGTGGTTGTTTGGCACTCAGTTTTCTGTCAGCTCAGCCCAAACTATACAGAGGCTGGAGACCTGATGCCAGTAGCATGCCTGTAGTAGTGGGGAAAGAGTGAGCTGAACAGGTGGAAGAATCAGGCAGAAGACAGCGTATCAAACCAACATGCTATAAAAACGCTCCGCTGAAGCATGGTGACACTGCAGGGGCTGCTTTTCCATCAGAAATGGACTGGAGCATCCCCAGTGCAATGGTTGATGTACTCACCTGTCCAATTCCTGCTGAGGCAGTGCAGATGGGAGCGTAATTCTCAATGTTTGTGGGGCTGGAAGCAATCTGTCTGTCACCACCTCTTTTCCTCCCCTCTTCAGCTACTTTCACTCTCCCACTTGCCATGTCCTGTTTTCTTGTAAGCAAAGTGGTGGCTGATTTTTTGGACCTAGAATGATAACAGGTCACTCTCTCTCTCCGTAGTTCTTCACCATCTATTGCAGCTGCCTGGAGCTGGAGTGTTGAGGGCATTTGCCTTGACTTTACTCAATAAATGATTGTTTGCTTACTTATAAAGCTCTTTTTTATTTGCCCTTCCCTTCCCTTTATTTGTAAAGTTATTTTCTATTTCCCTTCCCTTCCCTTCCCTCTCCTCTCTTTTTCCAGTCAGCAGCAAGGATGAGAGGTTTGCTGTTGGATCTGCTTTAACTCTGCTAGATCCCATGCATGTTTTCCCAGTTTGCTGAGGCTATCTCTTGTAGACAAAGGGAGTAATGAAGAAACTAATGGCCCTCACTCCCCCTGAAAGAGGAATCAGTTTATGAAAAGAGAATAGAGAAGAACTAGACCACTTGCAACATGTTCAAAACCTCTTTTTCCCCCAGGCTTGTCCTGAAGCCTCCCTACTGGGAAATTCAGGCAGCTGTTCAGCTTGCTGACTGGGTGGGAGTTTAAAGGCAATCTTTGTGTGCACAATTGCATAAAGTAATTGTGTGTGCATTAACATTTTACCTGGATTTAGGCATGTGCAAATGACTTGCTGAATTACTTTGGAGCTGGAGTTGCAGTAAGAGATTTGGGGAAACTCCTCCTCTTTGCTGTGACAAGCAGCATCTGGTCCAATGTAAAGTACAACTTTCAGTGCAAATATGTAGATGTGTTTGAGCTTATTCTTTGTTCTCTGCCATTACCAGGACGTGGGTTGGCAAGCTAAAAATGGCTTTCCGCCAACATTTAATGGGAGCATCTCCCAACTGTGAATGTGTGTGCAGAAAGTAAATGCAAAAGAGAGAGGGTTGTGGTGGTCAGAGCAACCACTATTTAACTGGGGAAAATTCTTGTGTAATATGGATTCTGTAACTTTCCCAACTCTGGTTATGATACATTTTAAAATCCATACTGCTGTGAAGGAGAAATTATAGCCAATTAAACAAGAGTACCAAACAGAGTCTGTCCCCAAATTTTCCCTTTTTGTATTTGTTGAACTGCACAATTATTTTAAATTGAGTGTTGCATATTCATAAACTGCATTTCCAACCACCCAGTCTTCTGTTTTATGGATCTAGTTGGAATATTAGCATATATTTCAGTAGCTCATTTCATTTCATTGATCCC